TCCCCCCCCCCCCCAAATAAATTCGGCTTTAGCTCGGAACCCGCCTGAGGGAAAAATGTGGAAGCCAGGATATTCGTATCTTCTTATAATTACAAACACCATTTTTGCGGACTATGGAGCTACTGCTGTGAGAAACAGCAACAACAAACAACAGCACACACATAACCGAGCTCTGCAGAGATGGATTGATGCGAGGAAACTCGCCGCTCGAAAATACGGAAGAAAGCACACCCGTAACGCGAGGCGGACCGAGAGAGGACAACAACATACGAAGGGAGTAAGGAACCTTCGACAGACGATAATTGATCAATCTACTCTGGATCTTTACTCTGTGACTTATTTGATCCGACAGGAGTCGGGGTAGATCTTCATGGTTGGTAACGAGAGCCGAGAACGGTCTCGGTCAACGCCCACTCGCAACCTTACGCTAGCCTTGACCGAGCACGCTCGGTCACCGCTTGACATTCCTCGTCACATCTCAACAGAGGAAACTGGCCTGCCTGCGGTGGTAGGCATATACCACCTCGCCAAATTGGGACCTCAGCTCACACGAGGTTGAGGGTATTCACAAAAAGGGGAAAAGCGAAAAAATGAACGCGGGGGGTGGGGGAGGGGCACACACCACGACGACGACGACAGAAATCTTTTCTCATCATCTCCTCGAAACGGCAAATATATCCGAAATCTCTCTCGTCGTCACCTTGCTTTCTGTGTGCTTGATTGATCGTCATCACCGGCGCTTTTAGACTAGTCTATTGGATACCTTTTTTGTGGAGACCTGAGACCTGTATCCATATTAGTCTACTCACGTGTCGACTTCAAAGACTCTGACCACAACCTCGTGCTTACGACTGTCCGCCTCCCCCCCCGTGTCGCACCCAACCGACGAGTGCGGGGGAACAGCGGAAGCAGCCGGATTCGTATCGACCTCGAGCGGTTGAGGAAGGACAAACACCTCCAGCCGCCCTCCGCCCACGGCGCTCAGGCGGCCAACGGGAGAGACCGCCGCCGAGCTGACGGTTACGGTGATGTCGGCCGCTGCTGAGACATCGCCCCTGGCGAGGTGCGCACTAGGGCAGAGAGGCTGGTACACGAGCGAAGCGCAGCACGAGATCTCTGAAGCGTCGAAGGAGATTAAGGCGGCCCAGCAGCAACTGCGTGGGGCCTCAAAGAACAGCGCCTGCGAGGCGACCCTGAAGGCGATGCTCAAGGCGGCGCGGAAGAAGCGCAGCATCGCGAGGTGGAGAGCACTGGAAACGTTCTTCGAGGGCTATGTACGGCAGCTCGAGAAGAAGAGCCGCGAGGGGGATCAGGCGGGTTTCTACAGGCACCTGAAGATGATCGACGTCGAAGGTAAGAGGTCGTTCACCTCTCAGAACATCAAGGACGAGGACGGCAAGGTCCTTCGGGACCCCACGT